CGGTGTTTGCGTCTATCTTCATACTAACTGCTTTCTAATGGATATTTGGGGAGATTTCATGGCTGTCGCCTCTGAATTTGCCCCTTAATAAAATGGACACACACTCTTAGGACACTTGGGACAGGTGTCGAACATGCCCAAGCAGCCTTGGAAGGGATGGGGCTGGTTTTTGTTTTGTTTCTGCTTGTCCTGCACAGCACAGACTAGCCTTGAACTCTTGGTCCTCCTGCCTCAGCCTGCCCACTGCCTCTCTCCTCAAAAGGGTCTTTGGCTCACTCACTCATCCGTTCATAAATCTTTGACATGAACAGAGAGCCACATGCTTAACTTTCTTAAAATTCTGTTTCTTGTTGGATCTAAAAGTTAGTGTTTCTTCCTCCGAAAGTAGCACCCCTGTGCTGCCACCCACACCACACCGTTAGGCTTTATCCAACCACTGAGAGAGTGGACTAGACCCAAGGGACATGGGGAGTCGGGAGTACCTGGGAACTGAAGGGCAAAGGGGCTTCCCCCTAACCAAGCCAACATTTCCACTGTTAGAACCCATGGAACTTCAGAAGACTGCCTGGAGCCTCTGAGGCAGCTATCACCTGACAAGGAAGAGGTTTTGAACCCACAGCCAGAAGGCTTATACATTTGCAAATGACACAGCTTTAAGATGTAAAAATGCTGAGGGAAATAGGCCTGTCCTGCCCGGGCTATTTTCTCTCTGGGTTAAGTTAATGATCCCCAAGAGAACAAACTTGTATCCTGGCTTACACGCCTCAAGAAATTAGCCACTCCAATTCACCCCAGAATCAACACAAGGAAGCAAAGAGTTTAATGGATTTGAGGAGTCTTCATTTTACCTACTTAACAGGTCGTGGTCAACTTTTCACACTTTCTTAAGAGAACCATGTAAGCTATTAACAGGCTATTTGGTGGCCTCCTCTCTTTAAAACCCCTCAAAGTTTGGAAAACAACTCTAAAAGCTCCCAGAATAGAAGGTGCTCTGGGAAGATAACCTGGGTATGGCCTTCCTGGTAACTTTGCCATCAGTGTTTAGTCAGGGAAGATCTAGTCACAGCCTTGCACAGTCCCAAGGACCCTTGTGTCTGTGACCAGGAGTGGACCCTGTGCAGTTTCTACCCTGGGTACATTCAACACCTCCTTCATATGGCAGAATCTGTGCTGGGCATGGGGACTCGGTCCTCAGTGAGAACATAAGACAGATTTAAACAGCTATCTTTTAGAAAAGAAAGTAACTAGTGGTCCACAGTTAAGATTCTGATTATGTGACCATTCCTATGCACTGGATACTCAGTAGAAAGAAAGACAGACTGACCCCTGTCCTCAGAACAGACTCAATGTGCACTTGATGGGTACATTCATTCAGCACCTACTGTGAACGAGGATGTACGTCAGATATTTTCTCATCACATGTCCTTCTCACAAATAGCCTATGATCCCATTTTTTAGATATTCTTCTTACATTTGTTTATGGCAGGAGAGGGGTATGCCATAGCACACACGTGGAGATCAGAGGACAACCTATGGTAGTCAGTTCTCTCCCTCTACCCATGTGGACCCCCACTTTTAGCAGAAAAGGAACACAGGACTTAAGGGTGCTAGATGATGTCCCCAGAGTCACTCCAATGATGAAAAGCAATGGTAGGACTCAAAGACAGAGTGGTCTGGGGTGAGCAACCATGCTGTGACCTCATTGCATGGATGATTAGCTCTTGGTGGTGGCACCCTCCTTCCATGGACTTGTGACTAATTCCTTGCCACATTGTAGAGCCTCATGGGACACAGGTTGGCAAGCAATAAGACATCGGCTGCTGGGCTAGGACTCATAAAACCATGTCTTGTAGAACTGATGCTGGCATCTGTCTCTGACTGTCCCTTGATGTCCTCTAGCAGAAACAGGGAAGAGAGACTAAAGTCACTCTCAAAGATAGAGACACAAGCTCTAAGCCCTGCTTTTAGCATTCCTCCAGCAGGGCACAGAGCAAACCACTACTGACAGCGATTCTGAAAAAAAATCACCCCGTTTCCATGCCAACAACGGTATCCTCCCCTATCCTGTACCACCATTCTGCCTTAACCCGAGGAAATTCTCTTCATTCTTTTTCTTTCCATTTCCTTAGCCAGAGGACTTTAAGAGCTTGAAAAAAAGCCTTCAGAATAAAGGCTGAGTAAGGAAGCCTCAACAGTCTGGAAAACTCAGGGCCATCCTTGCAGACTCAACTTCGACATCTTCACCAGAAGACATTCTCTGACCAAATGCTAGCAGTGTGCAAAAGCGTGCACACTCAGACATGCTCCCAGCCCTCTGTGTTCCCCGGGCATAGTGTATGCTACACTGTGCATGGCTATGCTTTTTACATGCTCTGTACAGGTGGGTCTGTATCTGGTCTGTCTGCTTCCAGTTCTGAGCTCAATCCAGGAATCCCGCTAGAGAAGAAAAAGACGAGCCGAGGGAAGAGGACATTGTACAGACTCGCAGCTCCTGGTTCAACCTGTCTTGCTTACACTTGTCTCGGGTCTGGTGAAGCATCCTGGAGTTCCAGCTGCCAAGGAGAAAAGGATGTGGCCTGAAGGAAAAGGGGCTAGAGGGAGTATCTGCTCCCTAAGAAAAGGGAAGGGGGACAATGAACGCTGGGCCTGCAGGACTCCAGTGACAAAGATCACAGCCACTGCTTAGGAACATGGCTCGGCTTCTAGTGCTCGCCTCCTGTTGGCCCTGGGCCTGCGGGTCACAGAGCAGTGCACCCGATCTCATGAACAGCTGCCCTGACCCCCATGTACCCGGCTCACTGGAGGCAGGAAATTCCATGTTGTAATCGCTGGATTTCTTCCATTCATTCTTGATCCATGACTAGGTAACCAATCGGTCACTGAAGAAACCGTTTAGACGGATTGCAGAACATCAGCCCAGGCTCTCCTCTGCCCAAGAAGGAAATCAAACAGGACAGACAGTGCTGGGCACCTCTGTTTCCATTGCAGGCCTGACTTACGGACAGATGTAAAAAGGCTGAAACGCCCCACCCCTGCCCATCAGTCAGTGCTGCGGTGAGGATTTCATAGAGCCGGGCCTGACGTCTAAAAACACATGTTTAGAAGCACATCTGGCTGTGGTCATGTTATGAAACGGAACACATGTGGATCTGAGTAGGCTAGAAAAACAGTCCCCAGTATCTAGGGAGGCTGGGCCTTTTAAACAAGTGCTTTTCAAAGAGCAGCGTGAAGAAATGCTTTTACATACATGATGCCACGATCAACCTGAAAATAAAAAGTAAAAAAATCAGCACCAAGTCAGCGACCCTGAGCAGCTGGCTAGGGGAATGTGGCTGGCACATTAGCCATCCAGTTCTGAAAAGCCACCATCCGGTCGCCCTTCGTTTTCTGTGCAGCTGATGGCAAAAGGGATCAAGACCATTTCTACTTTATCATTGCACGTTTTCTAATCTACAGGAGGGTAGCGTGTTCCTGCACATTTGATTCCCTATTTCCCAGAAGACATTTGGATGTTTTGGAAATGTAACCTTGCTCTTCCCACTCACCCAGAGAACCGTATCCCTCCTGCATGCAATCTGGTCCCTCTTGGTTGAGCAGCAACTTGAGACTGTATGTCATTCCCAGACATGTGCAGAGCGGCTGGCATTCCCACATTACTCCTCACTTTGGGCCCAATTGCTTGGCAAAGGCATCGAGCCTGCTGGGTAAATCTAACCCTGTAGGTATGTGAAGCCACATTCCTAAAACCACATGCCCAGACAGCACCTGGATTTTATTAATATCTCAAAGTCAGATAAAAACAGAGATTGCGCGCGCGCGTGTGTGTGTGTGTGTGTGTGTGTGTGTGTGTGTGTGTGTGTGTGTGTGGTGGTGTACAGTCAGGTGCACTGCATGCACATGCATATGTGTGCAGGT